CACACACATTGACTATTCAACACACACTAACACACAATTACACACACATTTACACACGCAGCACACACAGGAAAATACACACACACCATCGTGACACACACAACACACACATCACCGGCGACAGCAAACACACAACGCCGCCAGCGGCAGTCACACAAATTCGACCATCATGTTCACCGCCGCCTCCGCCGTTCCGACCTGCCATCGCCGATGTCGCACCTTAGCCACCGCCTCCACCGCTCCGTCCTGCCATCGCCGCTGTCGCACATTAGCCGTCGCCGCACCTCCTGCGAGTTTCCTCCGACTTCACCATCGTCGCCGACCATCTCGGTTTGTCTTCGACAACATTCCAACAACGGCCAACCTTCGAATCTTATCAATACATAATTCTGTTGTTGCCCCTAATCATCTCCGGCGGCCACCGTCTGCCGGTCGTCGGAGAGGAGATATAGGTGGAGAACTTCAAACGACTCTATCCCCGGACGCTCCGCCACTTCATGGAGCTCGAACGACGTCATAGCAGAGTTGAGATGGTGTGATTTGGGATCTGAAATTTGATTGTATGTTTGGGCCTATTTTTTGAGAATTTGATTATGTCAAGGGACTTATTTGCAAATTTATCAATTTTAAGTATATTTCAATTTGACACATGGGTCAAATTTGTAATTACTGAAAGTTAATAAAAAAATTATTTTTATATACTTTGTTATGCATATATGTAATAAATAAATTATTAAATAAAAAATTGTAAAATATAAAATAGTATAAAAATTTTTTGTAATAATAAATAAATTATATAATTAAAACAATAATTAAAAAATAATTTAATTATTTAAATTAATTCAATGAACAATATTATATATTAAAACTAGTTTTCTAATACACATAAGTTAAGGTATACATAAGTTAAGGTATACATTAGTGCACTATATATAGCGGGGGTTGCACTTTATAAAACAACACATTGCGCCTTATCACCGCGCTCCACGATTAATGTCTAACCGCTCCTTCCAAAATATTACGAAATATAAATCTAAAAAATAGATTACATAATACTTTAATATCAGTCACATATATTATTCATAAATCAACACAAAATATAGTAATGTACCAATATATATATATATATATATATATATATATATATATATATATATATCAATACATTGCACTTTATACAGCAATTCGTTGCACCTTATAATACGGGATGTTGCACCGTATAAAACAACACGTTGCAAATACCAAAAAATACGATAATAATAATATTTTTTGTTTCGATTAATATTTTTTGACATTTAAAAAATACGGTAAATATGTTGAAACTTGTAACGCCCCGACTGACTAATACATCAGAGTACGCGATTTTTTTCGCAAATTTTCTGAATAAATAAATAAATAAACTAACTTTTTAATTTTGCGAAACTGATTCGGGGGTTACCGTGAAAAACATGACTTCTGAAAACCGTTAGAATTTAAAAAAACTGATACGTGAAACGGTTATAATTTATTATCCGACTAAAGTCGGAACAAAGTCTGAAGGTTTTTAGCGGAAGTCTTAGCGTGGCAATAACATGAAAGTCTGATAAAAGCTCTGAAAAGTTTAATCATTCAACATCAAGTACATCAAAACACAAATATCCTGAACAGCTCGCCCGCTCACTCCTCATCACCGACTCTGCGACCTGAAAATCATGAAAATGTGGGGCGTGAGCACTAAGGCACTGT